CACGTTTAATTACTGTAAAACAATAATTGCCTTCAGAAATCTCATTTTAAAAGTTACTCTTCAGTCTTTTTGTTATTTGTTTACTTCTAATTTTTTAATTCTTATTGTTTACTCTTTATTGTTACTTCTAATTGTTACTTCTAATTGCCCGGGCAACCACATATTACAAAAATGACAAATCTCATTCATCCATTCAGCGACACAAAACAAACATGCATTCTTGCCAAATACGGATGTTTGACTCTTTCTATGCATAATTAATAAAGAAAAATGTTCTTCAATACTACAAAATGGTCCTGTTTTCATACTTGAAAGGCTTTACCTCCCCTGAACAATTCTTTTGCAAGTCATGTTTTCATCCACTAGCCATTAAAATATACCTATATGCAATTCCATTGAGAGTTTGAAATAAAAGATCTTTTAAGGTATGCATTGATGACTTTTACTTAACTCTGTATTATGTACTTTTTCCCTTTTAAATAATCACGAGATAAACAATGCCCATGCAGCACACATTTAACTAACCTACTACTAACCGACTATCTACCTAACTACCTAACTAACCAACTAGCTAACTAAATATGTTCCCTTTATATTTACTTATACCAGAGACATATAAAATGTTTTATAGGTCTCTGCTTATACACACTATATACATTCTTTGACTAAACAATCAATTACTCCCATCCATATCTTGTAGGCGCTCTTCTATTTCTTGCATTTCAATATTGAAGCAAGACTACGCCTTAATAAACCATCCGACGATTTCTTTTCTTCATTTTGATTTTCAGGTGAAACCGTGATTTTGCCATCTGTGTCTTTCTCATCTTCATTTTCCCCGACGGCACCTAACACGACAGAACACCCATTTTCACATTGATCCTTCCCCTCCATATTCACAAGGTATCAACTTCTATTTAATGAATGAGCTATAATCTATACGTAATATCAAAACACAAACGGAATCAAGTACGCTTTTATCATCAATACAGGGATTTTTACAAAATACAAAGACCAAAAACTAGATCTCGAACATTCAAATAAAATACTTCTCAATTTGAATTGTCATTTTGCTGCGACTACATGAATTCACTACTCCACCATAATTTCGTCCAATACCAAAAGTTCGTACTCTAAAATTTCAGTCCACTCTACAAAATCATCACAGTGATACTCTGTGTATAAATCACTAGCATTTGGGAAATAGGCCCCGCAATAATCACAAATCCCTTCAACACAATTTATGCAAGAAGGATTTCCTTCAGGAAAATGGCCAATATGCGGTATAAGGTCTTGATCAACCAATTCGACACAATCGTAACAAACTTTATGGCCACAACCAAACTCAATAAGCACACATTCAATATCGCCACAGTTTAAACAATGTGCCATAGCATGTACAAATGAGAGAAAAGAAAGAAAGAGATTAAAAGAAAACGTCAAAAATGTAAAAATGAAAAAAAACAGGAGCCTGTTTCTGTCACATGAATTCTTGTTAATATTAACTTGTAATACAACGCTGAAAGGCGAGCGTTTTCGTAATTCAATTCTACGAGGTACTACAACGGGAGCCCCTCATTATTACTAAATGATGATTCCCTTAACAGTAGCACGTGTAAACATAAAATATTCTTGACTCTTTGTCTTCTCTTTGTTCACAAGATCAAGGTAAAGTTACGCATAAATTAACTGAGCGTACACAAACGCAAGATCATTATCAGTCTTTTTAAGTGAAGATCGTCAACTTAAATGCATGCATAAACAAACATTGTGCATAAAGACAAAGTTAATATCTAATAGTACAGTGAACACAAATACTCTTCATTCAAAGTAAACTGATATGAAGACAAAATCCTAAAGAAAGAGTTGAAGAGAACTAATCTTCACTCTTCAGTATAGAATGAACCTAACTTAAAAGAGAGAAACGAAGAGAACTAATCTCCGCTCTTTTGTAAGAGTAAAGCTAAATTGAAGATGCGAAGAGAACTAATCTCCACTCTTCAGTGAAAGTTAATCAAATTTAAAGATGTGAAGAGAACTAATCTCCACTCTTTAATGAAAATAAAGACACTAAAACTGCAAAAAGATCTCTTTACAAGACAAAGACCAATCCCACCGCTGCAACCAATGAAGCTTCGAGCTTTGTTGTTTAAATAGCTCTGTGGGTTCTTCATAAAATAATATGGATTGGTCTTGTAATGTAAAAAGACAAGATTAACACAGAATTAATATACTCATAAAACTATACTTTATTCCAAGTAAAAGACTAAACATGTACAATTACACTCTTCAGTATAAAATAAAACTGTTCAAAGATAAAGAAAGAATGAAAATGAGATTAATAAGATGAAAAGAAATGATGTGTGATGTTCCCCCCGATCTAACTCTCTACTGAATGAAGCCCAAAATTTCTCTTAAATACCCCCAAGTTATAGGAAATGAAAGGCAATCCCTTACCCTACAAAACCTATAAGAAACCCATTGAAAGATGGCAGCACAATACGGTGAATCAACATGAAAAATGCTATAATCAATACAGAAAACTCCCCTATGACTCCTTGTTCAAAAACTCGCCCATCTTCAAGATGGCCGCCATTTTTGTCTCGCGAAATTCATTTTTGACCCATTTCCTAGCTTTACAAATAATGCCAGGTGTCCTGCATTGTTAAAATCCATGTTAATATGAAGAGTAGTTATATGAAATAATTTTGTTACAAAAAATCAGCAAAACATTATACACGTTTTAAAACCTCTGTCGATAGGATCCCCGTTTTAAGTTATTTCTGTTCAACATCAATACAGAAAACTCCCCTATGACTCCTGGTTCAAAAGCTCGCCTATTTTCAAAATGGCCGCCATTTTTGTCTCGCGAAATTCACTTTTGACCCATTTCCTAGCTTTACAAATAATTTCCGGTGTCCTGTATTGAAAAAATCCATGTCAATGTAAAGAGTAGTTGTAAGATATAATTTTGTTACAAAAAATCAACAAAAAATTATATCCATTTTTTTATTTTCAGCCATTTTAGTTAACATTGATTTGACAATCTGTCTCGCGGAATCCACTTTTGAACCATTTGCCTTAAAACCTCTGTCGATAGGATTCCCGTTTTAAGTTATTTTTGTTCAACATCAATACAAAAAACTCCCCTATGACTCCTGGTTCAAAAGCTAGCCTATTTTTAAAATGGCTGCCATTTTTGTTTCGCGAAATTCAGTTTTGGCCCATTTCCTAGCTTTACAAATAATTTCAGGTGTCCTGCATTGTAAAAAGGCATTTCACTGCAAAGAGAAGTTGTATGAAATGATTTTGTTATAAATTAAAATCGGCAAAAATCATGTCCTTTTTTTATTTTCAGCCATTTTAGTTAACATTGATTTGTCCATCTGTCTCTCAGTCAATCCAAAATAGTGGCACGTTTTAAAACCTCTGTCTGTCAACACTTAGCTCTTTTTAAATCCTCTGTAGATAGGATTCCCGTTTAAAAATATTTTTGTTCAACATCAATAAAGAAAAAAAACTGTGACTCCTGCTTCAAAATCTCGCCTATTTTCAAACTGGCCACCATTTTTTGTCTCGGAAAATTCACTTTTCCTAGCTTTACAAATAAGTTCAGGTGTCCTGCATTGTAAAAAGCCATGTCTTTGTAAAGAGTAGTTGTATGAAATAATTTTGTTACAAAAATCGGCAAAAAATTATATCCGTTTTTTTTATTTTCACTTTTGAGCAACACCATGTGAGCCCAGTACCCACGGTACTAATTTTTTTTCTTTGTATAAGATTGAATTGACTGTGTGAGTAGAGAGTGACTTAATGTTTCAATAAATGTTGTTCTTCTCTTAAAATAATTAATAAGATTTATTTGTAAACCTTAAATCAATTTTACTAGCTCAAGTACTGTCATACACGTCTCTAAGTCGACTCTACTTAACTGTATCCCTATTATTTTATTTATCCATAAATCATTCTTTGAAATTATATGATCAGCAGTATATGACTTGAAATGGATTGTAATATTGATTCCAAAACGATTCAGAAGTACCCTTTGCATTCGATTGACTTCGCTTCGTAAAAGAGAGCTTCGTCTTAGTTTGTAACTATATGCGACTCAAATCTCTCTTAATTGTTTTGAAGATAAATTTCAAAGTCAATATTTATCTCCCTTCGAAAAGTTTTGAGATGCACTCTTGACATATTTAACTACAAGTTCTTCTAGTGTCAACAATCCTGTTTACTAAGAAATATTTGGAACCTGACAAGTATTATTTTGAGGGGCGAAATTTGAATGGTGCAAAACATGTTTACTTTATTAGCTGATGTTAACGTGTTATTTTTGACCTGATTGTAAATAATATATATCAGTGTTTTTTTAAACATGTTATAACGTATTCCTTGGCCTCAGTATCAAACGGAAACGCTTATGTTGTAGATATGTGCATTGCATTATACTGATGAGGTGCCTCATATCACCTCATTGACATAAGGTGCCGCCATAATGGTACCATGCGTGGTGTCATATTTAAGCACATGTCAAGATGTTCAGATTTGTTCAGAAAAATATTTACATTTCCATGAACAAAGGATATGACGTTAGTAAAAAAACAAACAATTCGTCAGGTGTTAAGTGTCTCGATGCTATAAAAACACATTTTTAAGCAAATCATTAAGTTGAAAAAAATGCAAGACATTTGGACACACTGAACTTTAGGTAACATTATTAACTTTTATCAAAAAAACAATTATTTTAAGCTCAAAGAAAATGTTTTCCTTTATTTCTAAATAAAATGCATCGAGAAAATATGTATTGAAAAATACGTGTTACAAATCTCAATTAAAATAAGTATCTTTATTTTAAGTACAGTAAAACCTGAATATAGTGAACACCTGTAGCCACAAAAAGTGTTCACTGTAGGTAGGTGTTCACTACAGAGAGGGGATATTAGTATAAACTGGAGTCAGTGGAAAATGTGTCTTGAAATGGTGTTAACTAAACACAGGTGTTCACTAGAGAAAGGTGTTCAATAAGACAGGTTTAACTGGAATCTTTTTGTTTTGAGGGAAAATGCTTAAGTGAAAATCAAGGTCAAATCAGAGTATTTGTGCTAAAATTAATATCACCTCAACGATCAAAAGGAATCACTCAAAATCATTCAACATTACATTGATGTAACCAAAACTGTATTCTGTTAATTATATTACTTACGTCATTGATTAATCTTCCGTAGATAGCCTATCAAATTGGACCATAAATCACCAGCTATGATGCGACAGGTAATCTCCGTGTTCTTCATATGTGCAACAATCCTATATGTCAAGGCTGTGCCACCACGATGCACAAGAGCAGATATCAAGAAGCTGAATAGCACAGTAATTAACTCGAAGAGCGAACTGATTGAAGCATTCAATAGCAAATTACAAGTGATCAAGAATGACATAAAATCCGAACTAGCCAATGAAATTGTTAATCTCTCCGACAAACTTACTAATGAAATTAACCAAAATGAAGAAAAACTGAAAATTGATGTGAATATTGTGAATACTGAAGTGCTTAAAGTAAACACAAAACTGGACCAGATCAAAAATGACATCAAAGGAGAACTGAATGATGAAACCGATCAGCTGACTGAAAGTATTAATCAAAAATTTGATGATCTGAATAAAAAGCTGATTGGAAGCATTCAACATTACACTAGTTCAGATGAAGAATGCCATTAAAGATGAACTTACTACTGAAATCAATCAAAATGGAGATAAGCTGAATGCGCTGAAGACACAACTGACAATAACAACTAATGAACTGAGTGATTGTGCATGTGAGAGGAAACGACGTAAGTCCAGCGATTTTTGTTGTTCCATAATTTTGATTGACACATACTAATCTCAGTCATACAGAATAGGCCAAAAAATTATAACCAAAACAAATGTGAATAACTCCAACATTCAACATGTGTGTAATGTCATATTTGGCATATTTAAACCTTGTTCAATGGTTGCATGTTTTGCACCATGGCCATAAAATCGTTACTATTGGAAATAGACCAATGGAACTTGGTTATATGAAAGAAAATTGAACCAGGTTTAACTTTAAGGTCGAATAAATTTGAAACCCATGCATGCTGGATGTTTCAGTTAGACATTTGTTTAGGTTACCTTTTTTGGCTCACTCTGTAGTTACATGTACTTAAAATGCCGCGTTACACGTGAAGTTAAGTCCGAGAGGGTCCCTTTGAGTTGAGAAGCAATGTATAAAAGATGGACATATTTCTGTGTTGGCAAATAATCACAAATGTAACATGTAGAATCATTATTTTACAGAGAGAAGTATCATCTATTATGCTGGCCCTTACATCTATACATTTGCTGCCGCAAAGGCATACTGTAAAAGTAAGGGTCATAAGATAGCCACACCAGCCCAATTAGAAGCACCTTTTGCATTAGGGATGGAGTCGTGCGCTTAGGGATGGGTTGAAGATGGAAGCCTAAGGTTTCCACAACAGATGCCATATACAAACAACTGGTGTGGAACACGTGGATTAAATACTGAACTGAATTACAATCCATCAGCCAAATATGGAGTCTATTGTGCTACAAACCCAGGTCCATAACAGTAACATTACACAAACTAAGCAACACTAAATTATGATGTGCAATTGAATCAGACGCATGGACTGCATCAATGCCTCAAGATGAACTATGGAATATTATAACTGTATACAGGGTGGTCCACATTTTCTTTGGCGATAACGTCTTCAATTATAAATATATTTTTGCTGATATTCCGTATTTTCACTCGACTTCGTCTCGTCCATACGGAATTTCTCGAGCATAATATATCCTGTATTGCACTTCACATCATTCAATAACTTAAATTATCGTATGATCTGTAAAATGAAGCCTTCTGATTGGTCAGTTCTTGTGCTGTACAAATCTGTATTGCTACTGAGATTGTCCCCGTTGATCATCTCCGTCGCAATACAGAAAATACTGGTACGGAGGGGACAATCTCAGTAGCAATACAGAGGATCACACGATAAAAACGTTATTGAATGATTTGAAGTGCAATACATGATATATTCTGTCTCGATATTCTGTATTGGCACTCGACTTCGTCTCGTTCCAATACGGAATTTCTCGAGCAGAATATAGCCTGTATTGCACTTCAAATCATTCAATGACTTATAATATTGTTTTTATTTAATTGTTTGTAGCGCTTCAGTTCAGTTTTTATACAGTTGAAAAAGGATCCAGACAGGATCCGAAACGTCCTGTTTAGTAAAATAAAGATTGTGAAAAGAAGAAAAAATAGTTTTGTAATATTTTTAGCAATGTCAAATGAAAGATGGCGATGAGAGTCATATTACGTTCTTCATTCACTTTTTCGTGTGTCAACCAAACCAAATACGTCATCTTTTCATTCAAATGTGATTTTTAAACAATTAGTGAAAACATGGGCTATCAAGAGAGTAGATGAGTAAACAGAGTAATAGAACGATTGGAAGAGTACATTTTTAATCATTTTAAAATCACAATAGATTAATAGATTTACTGAAAGCCCACGGTGAAAAGTACGATTAGTATCTCTGAACTTCTCATGTTGTTTTCTAAGTGAGTTAAAGAAGCTTTGTATAAGATTGAATTGACTGTGTGAGTAGAGAGCGAGTTAATGTTTCAATAAATGTTCTTCTCTTAAGATAATTAATAAGATTTATTTGTAAACCTTAAATCAATTTTACTAGCTCAAGTACTGTCATGCACGTCTCAAAGTCGACTCTACTTAACTGTATCCCTATTATTTTATTTGTCCATAAAGCATTTTTTGAAATTATATGATCAGCAGTATATGACTTGAAATGGATTGTTATATTGATTCCAAAACGATTCAAAAGTACCATTTGCATTCGATTGACTTCGCTTCGTAAAAGAGAGCTTCGTCTTAGTTTGTAACTATATGCGACTCAAATCTTTCTTAATTGTTTTGAAGATTTTCAAAGTCAAAATTTATCTCCTTTCGAAAAGTTTTGAGATGCACTCTTGACATCTGTTAGTACACGTTCTTCTAGTGTCAACAATCCGGTTTACTAAGAAATATTTTGAATCTGACAAGTATTATTTTGAGCTGAGGGGCGAAATTTGAATGGTGCAAAACATGTTTATTTGCTGATGTTGAACGTGTTTTTTTTACCTGGTTGTAAATGTGGAGTTCTTCAATGGGCTTTTTAAACATGTTATAAAGTATTCCTTGGCCTCAGTATCAAACGAAAACGCTTATGTTGTAGATACATGCTAGCATTGCATTATACTGATGAGGTGCCTCATATCACCTCATTGACATAAGGTGCCGCCATAATGGTACCATTCGTTGTCTCATTTTAAGCACATGTCAAGGTGTTCAGATTTGTTCAGAAAAATATTTACATTTCCATGAACAAAGGATATGACGTTAGTAAGTAAACAAGCAATTCCTCAGGTGTTAAGTGTATCGCTGCTATAAAAACACATTTTTAAGTAAATCATTCAGTTAAAAAAATGCAAGACATTTGGACACACTGAACTAGGTAACATTATTAACATTTATCAAAATAACATGATTATTTTAAGCTTAAAGAAAATATTTTCCTTTATTTCTAAATAAAACGCATCGAGAAAATATGGATTGAAGAAGACGCGTTACAAATCTCAATTAGAATAAGTACCTTTATTTTAAGTACAGTTAAACCTGTATATAGTGAACACCTGGAGCCACAAAAAGTGTTCACTGTAGGTAGGTGTTCAATACAGAGAGGGGATATTAAACTGGAGTCAGTGGAAAATGTGTCTTGAAATGGTGTTCACTGAACACAGGTGTCCACTAGAGAGAGGTGTTCACTAATACAGGTTTAACTGGAATCTGTTCTGAGGGAAAATGCTTAAGTTAAAATCAAGGTCAAATCAGAGTATTTGTGCTAAAATTAATATCACCTTAACGATCAAAAGGAATCACTCAAAAGCATACATTACATTAATGTAACCAAAACTGTATTATGTAAATTATATTTCTTACTTCATTGATTTATCTTCCGTAGATAGCCTATCAAATTGGACCATAAATCACCAGCTATGATGCGACAGGTAATCTCCGTATTCTTCATATGTGCAACAATCCTATATGTCAAGGCTGTGCCACCAAGATGCACAAGAGCAGATATTAAGAAGCTGAATAGCACAGTAATTAACTCGAAGAGCGAACTGATTGAAGTATTTGACAGCACATTACAGGTGATCAAGAATGACATCAACGCCGAACTAACCAATGAAATTGACAGTCTTACTGAAAAAATTACAGAGGAAATAAATGAAAATGAAGGAAAGCTGAATGCGCTAAAGGAAGAACTGATTGAAGCATTCAACAGTAAACTAATTGAGATAAAGAATGACATCAAAGCTGAACTTACTGCGGAAATAAATCAAAATGAAGATAAGCTGAATGCGCTGAAGACACAAAATCAAGGAACCCTTTCCACACTGACTGCCCAACTGACAAAAACAACTACTGAACTCAGTGATTGTGCATGTGAGAGGAAAAGACGTAAGTCTGATGATTCATTTTTAATATACTTTTATTCTCATAGTCAAAATTCTGTATATGGCATTTCAAATTCTGAAAAGTCGCAATAAAATGATTGAAATAAAACTCAAATGAAATGATGTCAAAACAAGTGAGTACAAAATGACAACGCTCAATTTTTTCATAGTCAAGCATACTTAGAATTTCTTTTTGAGAATGCAATATGTGATAACAACATAAAACAAGCTTTGGAAAGAGCCACGTTATTGCAAATAATTTCAGACGATTATACCTTGAATTATGAATATTTTTTGATCATAAAGTCAGGTGCATCTTTTAGATCCATTCATTATCTCCAAGAAAGGGATATACATATATAATGGCAATTAAGTTTAACAGACTAAGTGATATTAAAGGGGCAATGAACCCATCAACATACTTGTTCAAAAGTGTTGACCTAATTTGACTGAAAAGGCAACCTTTTATTATAATGTTGAATGCATAATTAGAATGTGCTTTGAGAAATGTCTTATTTCCTAAAAGAAAGCGTGGACTGTTCCAGGGACTTGAGATATTGAATTTGGATGACCAAAATGAGGTGAAAACAATGGATAGCATGGATTTTCTCTATGAGGAAATAATATGAGGAATGCTTATCTCACTGTAATTTAGTTTTACAAATTGAAATTTTAGAATAGTAGTGCATTAAAAATTGTAAAAAAGATAGCCTTTGTTGTGAAAAATTAGATATAATCGTCTGAAATTGTTTGCAATAACCTACGTGGGCTTTTATACCACGAATCAAACGGTTTTGTCTATTTACAGAGAGGAGTATTATCTACTTTGCTGGTCCTTACATCTACACATTTGCTGCTGCAAAAGCATACTGTAAAAGTAAGGGTCATAAGATAGCCACACCAGCACAAATACAAGCAGCTTTTGACCTGGGAATGCAGTTATGTTCTTTCGGATGGTTAAAAGATGGCAGTGTTAGGTACCCACATCAAATGCCATTTACAAATGGATGGTGCGGACATCGAGGAGTAAACACTGATCTGAATCATAATCCATTAGACAAGTTTGGAGTCTATTGTGCAACAAACCCAGGTCCTGATTAAAAATGTTGATGAAATTGTCAGATGAATTCATATGAATTACAGGAACTAAAAAGTAACAGTAAGTAAGTATGTGTTAATAACACATGAATGCATCCTAACTGAATGCATAGTAACCATTACTTAAGTTGCAGTTTCCGGAACACTAAAAGGCAATGTTGAGTAATGTCAGTACAAAGTCTGTGTTAAGTGTGGAGACTTTACGAATAACCTGTACAATAGATGCATGCATATAATACATCTATATGTCTTGTACGAACAAATGTAAATACTTTGAAAATGGAATCCGAAATCCTGTGATTGTCGTATGACATAATGTTAGATTACTTTTTATAAACAAAAATATATTTTCTTGTCATAATTATTTTCATATTTATTTTATGTCATAAATAAATCAGAATAAATGAAAACACGTACAGTCATGATCTACAGTTAATATTGATGGTTATAACAATACATGTGTATTCAGTAAGATTTACTTCTAAACCTAAATCAATGATTGTATCAGATCTTACCTTTGGCAAATGTTTCTCAAATACTCAACTGCAGTATATGATTCAATTTTATGTGTGTGTGGTACAACACTGAAGCCAAATTCTGAGGATAGTCGTTCACAGTAATTAAGTAATACCTGTACTTACTACTAAATCTTTCACAATGATTATGTGTAATTCACACTGCTTTTCAGTATAATGTGGCATAAATTTTGGAATGGTGCGGTACTGCATGACACAGTGCAATACGGTTAGTACTATGCAGTGCAATACAGTGCAGTGTTGTAGGTTACAGAGAAATCTGCATCACTGACCCAGGACCACCAATCTAGTCAATATAACCCAGTTTTACTTGTTCCTGGAAATCTTTTAAGTTTATAAAATAGTGCTGGACTAACAATAGAGCTTTATGACGTACATGTACATGTATGTTCATTATTCATCTTGTGCATTAAATCGCTTACCAGTTAATCATATACAGTAGAACACAGTTATAACACAGAGTTGCATGTTGATATAAATAGTTGGAATTGTAGCTGCTGGTCTGAGACTTGGTTCAATAACTTGTATTTTCAGTTATTGTTTTAGAGTCGGATGCTTAGTTTAAAAGGTGTAACCTTTGATATTTGAAGACATTTCATAAGATAATTCATGAAAATCTGAATAACGTTTTATGAGATATAAGTAGTCATCTTTGATAAATGTCCATCGAATATTCTTTCAAAGATTAATGTTAGAAGAAGAACATACAAATCTGAATAATAATTTTTTTAATTCATAATTTTCAAATATCAAAGATTGTCGCCCAATTACTAATTATTCTCTCTGGAGTTAATCTCCAAGCTTCAATTTGGCAAAGTCTGTCACAATTTTGATTGCATCGTTCAAACAGGAAGTGTTTGTTCCAGTAGCTTGAGCAGAGACATCTTTCCCGCCACCCTTTCCATTCATTAGTTTAGAAACCTGGTTGACCCATTCATTGGCCTTGAGACCTTTGTTGACTGCTTCCTGGAAACAAAATAAAATATTTTACAATGAAATACTTGGAATATGCAAGTAAGTACATACATTTCAAACTGTATTCAGTAGCCCTATATGTACAATGAGAATTCACATTTGAATGAATCTTGAGACACTGTCTATTTTAGGCAGACAATTTTGATAGCACATGGTATTCTTAAATAGGGAATTTGGGAGATGTGAATCATGTTTATTCATCTTTATACCAACGTTCCGGCTTTTTCATTAAGAGGGTTAATTTGTTGATCATCTAACAATTTTGCTGAAAAATTAAGTTAGTGTTTGTTTAGAGGTTGAAAATCCAACAAGTTAGTTGCTGAATGCTTCTAAACTTGAAATCTGTGGGATGTTTTGAATATGGTGGAATCGGACGGTTATTAAAGTTAACAATGCAGAGCTCAAACCATCATTGGCAATCGCAGTTATTTAAGTTTGGAAAATTTGTTTGGTTCAGTTTTTTAACAGAACTTTACTGAGGGAAAATTACTGTTCATAAATCGACACTCGCTAAAATAACACAGATCAAAAATTTTTAAACCTTCTGACCCCTAGTTTTGAGCTAATTAGAATAGTCCTACATTATAAATGTATTCATTGAGGACTTCAAATACTAAAATGGTGATAGCATACCTTAGGGACACAACTCATACATAAAATTTTGCCAGCATCTTCATCCACAGAGAAGAAAATTGCAGAGGTCTCTGGTGAAAGACTTTTGTACTGTTTCATTGCACCATCTAGGGCCTGAAATATCAAACAACAGTTTGAGCCAAATATAAGGAATATTAACATTTTTTATCAAATAATTTCATGAAGAATCAGATTCCCCTCCAAAACATGTGAAACCTATCCTAACACTGTTTAATATGTTTTTTTCTGTCAGTAATTTTTCAAAAACATTGATATTTGATCTGCTGTTAAAATATGATTTTGGTTTGTTTCCAATTCAGGAAGCATTGACAATTAATTAATTCAATTTACCAAGGCATATGGAGAGGCCAAGGAGCATTTGATACAACTGAACTGGAGATTCATTATTTTACCAAGTCAATCTGAAATCATTATTGTGTACTACCCCCAGCGAGATAACTAAAGCCAGTTAGTTTTTAATTTGGGCCAGCTTATTCTTCCAGCATGTATAGAAAAACTGGTCCAAAATTCAACTTTGATAATAAGTCAATTTAAAATCCTTATATATTTGACAGATCACTCAAATCCAATATTGCATACCTTTGCATTTGAGAGAGCCTTAAACTCATGGATGACAATTCTCTGGTTAGGACTTGTTTCTATCATCTTCTTTGCTTCCTCCACTACCTGTACAAAATAAATTACAATTGCATCAGTATTTGTGTTATGCTATATTAGTGCAGGCCTGTAGCCAGGGGGGGTCGCAGGGTTCGGGCGAAAATTCTTTCAAAATTATGCAGTTTTTCACCAGTTTTTGAACACTTCTCAAGTGATTTTAGCCATATTTGGATCAAAATTGTCAAATGTGAACCTCCCCTGGAAATTTTGAAAACTGAACCCCCCTTGGCAAATCCTGGCTACGGGCCTCAATCTTGACCCATTTTTGGTGAATGAAAGAAACGATTAGGGTATACTGGATAGTTTTATGATATCATACTTTGCTATGTTTATCATATCATCATACTTTCCAGGCTGTGATGTTTGTTCACAAAATTGTAAATACATGTATGTATGCATATCGCACAAGTGCCAAAGGGAAATGATAAACAATTGCTACAGAACACAGCAAGATAAAGACCCCAGAAGTTATCGTAATAAGGTAGTCCTACTACAAGTTTGGCTAGAGAATGTACTATACAGTCCAGTTTGTGACATAAAGTGGAAACTGGATAACTTATTAGCTACTACTGAGGTAAAATTTTCTATAATTGCTCTATCTGAGACTTGGCTTAATGCATCAAATCAAAACCAGTTTAACTTACCTAACTACTCATCAGAATTTAATTCTAGAATAGATAAAAGAGGGGGTGGTGTCTGTATAAATGTTCACAACTCCTTGCAGTATATTACACGCAATGACCTTAGGGTTGATAATCTAGAGTGTGAATCAGTAGCTATTGAATTAATCAGTCAAAACTCAAAAAATATCATTATTACTGTCATATATAAGCCACCTGGTGTTGATGTGTCACATTTTAATAGTGACTTGGGTGATTATATGAATAAAATAGCAGATGAGGGTAAATTATCTTACATCATGGGTGACTTCAACATTGATTTACTTAAGGTTGAATCTCATGAACCCACACATGATTTTCTGAACCAGTTTTATTCATTCAACCATGTCCCACTAATATATAGGCCAACAAGAATTACTGACAAGACTGCAACTCTTATAGATAATATTTTTACTAATGTCCCTAATATTGATGGATGTGGTATCATCATGGAGGACATTTCTGATCACTTTCCAATCTATTCCATTTCACATTATGATACTACCAAATCTAAAAAAACATTAAGCAGTTATCGTAATTTCAATGACTCTAATAAGCAATTATTTCTTGAGAAACTCTCAAATGTCGACTGGACCCCTTGTTATAAAAGTCAAGATGTAAACATGGCATTTAATATCTTCATTAACTTGTTAATGGAACAATATGATTCTTCATTTCCACTCAAATCCAAATTTATCAAGGTTAATCATGATCCTAATAGACCCTGGTTGACTTCTGGCATCTTAACTTCTGCCAAAACTAAAAATAAGCTATATACCAAATATTTGAAAAATCCCTGTTGCAAAACAGGAAAAGCTTACAAGTCCTTCAACCATAAACTTAAGCACATAATTAAATACTCAAAACGTACACATTATCAAAATAAGTTTGCCGAAGTAAGTGGTAACATTAAAAAGTCTTGGTCTATCATTAATGAACTACTTGGAAAAAACAAAAAAGCTGCATTGCCATCTAAATTTACTATAAATGGAAAGGAAACAACAGATCATGAAATCATTTCCAATGGATTTAATAATTTTTTTACCAATATTGGTAAAAATCTAGCCAAGGAGATTCCAAAATCCAAAAAATGCTTTAATGAATACCTAGCAAGAGCTCAAAAAGTTCAATCATCTATTTATCTCAAAAAGACCTCAAAAACTGAGCTTGAATTAGAAATGTGTCTTCTAAAATCTTCCTCGCCTGGACCTGATGGGATTCTACCATCACTTATTAAGTCTGCAAGACAGTTTTTAATTGATCCACTCTTGTATATATTTAACTTATCTTTTAAATCTGGTATTTTCCCAGACGCCCTCAAATTGGCCAAAGTAACACCTGTATTTAAAAAAGGTGTCACTACAAATCCTTCGAACTATAGACCAATTTCAGTTTTATCTGTATTTTCTAAATTGTTAGAAAAGCTCATGCACGCCAAACTCACTGGTTTTTTAGAACGTTTTGAAATTATTTTTACTTATCAATTTGGATTTCAGAAATTCAACTCTACCTACATGGCCATTTTATATTTCATTGAACAAATTCGAAAATCAACTGATTTGGGGAAAACGAGCATTGGCATAACATTAGATTTTTCCAAGGCCTTTGACACAATTAATCATGACATTTTGATACAAAAACTTGAATATTATGGCATCAGAGGAATAGCTAAGTCCTGGTTTGAAAGTTATTTAAAAGACCGCAAACAATATGTCACCATTAACAATTATGAATCTAAACAATCATCTCTAAATTGTGGTGTTCCGCAGGGCTCGGTACTTGGACCACTATTATTTATTCTTTACATAAATGATCTGCCTTTTGTTGCCCCTAATCTAAAATTTATTATGTTTGCTGATGACACCAATCTTCTTGATAGTGATTATGATTTAAATGAACTCATGACTAGAACTAATGCAAACTTGAATTCAATAGATGACTGGATAAAAGCAAACAAACTTTCACTTAATATTGGCAAAACCAATGCTATTCTATTTGGACCCAAAAAAAATCAAACAAATCTGAATCTTAAAATACGCAATGAGAACATAAATTTCCGGGAAAAAATTGACTTTCTTGGAATTATTATTGATAAAAACTTGAAATTTAAAGAACACATAAAATCTGTTGAAACAAAGATTTCTCGCGTCATTGGTTCTCTTTATCACATTAAACATCTACTTCAAATAGACAGTTTCAAAACAATTTACTACTCATTGATACACTCTCAATTAAATTATTGCAACATAATCTGGGGTAACACATTTAAATCATTTTATGATCGCCTACATAAACTGCAGAAACAATTCTTAAGGCTAGCTTTAAATAAGGATAGACTTTCTCACTCCGCTCCCCTATTTAAAGATCTTAGAATATTAAATATTTTTGATGTCAACAGATATTGTACTGGTCAGTTCATGTACAAAATCTTTAATAAGCACCCCAGTCTTCCAAAAAATCTATTTCAAGACTTGTTTGATATCAACATTAATATTCATCATCATTACACAAGACAATTGCATCATTTTCATATCCCTAAATGCTCTAAACTTTCCCTTCGCTATCTGGGTCCTAATCTTTGGAATGCTCTACCACATGATATTAAAAAGTGCTCCACTCTAAATATTTTCAAATCTTCATATAAAAAACTACTCATCTATCGATAATGTATAAACCAATATCATACTATACTGTTGATTTTATACTGGTACCCGATTTTTGTAACATTTTTACATTGTACATCCTTAGATTAATTGTTAATACCATTTTTATATACCTACATGTAACATAATATAAGTGTTTTCTTTTATATGTAGTCTAGTTGTCATTCTAATGATTTCTGTTAAACCGCAACATATACCCACTAGGGTGTCTAGCGGCTTGTTTTTATAGTGTATATTATATAAGAATTATGAAATAAATAATTGAATTGAAAAAAAAAAAAATTGAATTGAAGCACACATCAAGTGCATTTTATCATCAAGTGCTTAGTGCTACTGACCTCTGTCATGACTGCTGCTTTTCTGGCCTTGTCAACATCATCAAGCTTTTTCTTCAGCATTTTCAGTTTATTTCTCAGGTCATCTCTCCTCCAGTATGCAATTCCAGCCTGGGAGATCTCCTAAAATAGAGTTTGGGCTCAGTAAGTTAAGAGAATGGGGAGAAGTTGTTTCAGAACTGCATAGGAGGAGCCTCTCTCTCTCTTTATATAGGGAACATTGCATATACCAATGCTTTCTGGTAGGGCTACCCATGGGAAAGATCCTTGAATACAATCAAGTATAACACACTTGTTCCATTTTCAGACACATTTTTAAGACATTCTGAGTAAGAAAGTATGTGTAGTGCAGTAGAACAAAATTTGTGCTTTCTGGATATCAACGTAGGCAATTTTGTATTATTTGAATGTTTTACATTTCATGATGAAATCTAATTAATTTTACAAAATTCTTTTAATCTTTTTCATTGTTTCTGTATTAATTGACAAAATAAACATAAAGCCAGGAACTGGAGCAAATATGTGACACCAAGATGCTCAATGAACAGTATTCAAAGTTGAAAAATGTACTGTGAGTGAAAATGAGTTGAATCTAATTACCTCTGTTAGATCTACAATATCTTTTGTAAACATCTTTGGTGAAAATCCAGCAGATTTTGAGTCTTCCTCTATCTTGGCTTTCAGATTTTCACACTGCTGGTCAAGAATGTCTGCTTTCTTTATGGCCTGTATTGAAACAATGTGATATTATAAATATAATCCTTACATTCCAATATTATTAAATGATTTGAAGTGCAATACAGGGTATATTGCACTTGAGAAATTCTGTATTGGCACGAGACTAAGTCAAGAAATACAGAAAATCGAGAGGACAATATATTCTGTATTGCAATTAAATCATTCAATAACATTTTTATCGTGTGACTCTAGGCCAATACATTTGACTTACATGTAGGAGATAATCCCTGGGAAATATTCTGACTTGCTCTAAAACCATTAATTCAATGTAGATATTATTTCATGAATGAAATCTGTATTGCTACTGAGATTGTCCCCTCCGTACCAATATTTTCTGCATTGCTAGGGAGATGAACAATCACGTACGTGTCCTTTACAGGTCTCTCACAAAAGCGTCACATTATGTAATTGGCCACAAAAAACAGTTTCTATATCGATGAAATTAACGTTTAGGTCAGGCTTAATAGTATGGCAGAACATAGAAAAAGTGACTGATTTTGTTATCAATTATTTTCAATTGGATTATATTATATTGGGTTGCTTTTCTAATTTGAGAAATTATGGATTCAATATGCCCCATACAAGATGAATCATCTTTTTGTATCCATTTAATATTAATTATCTGAATTGTGTTTTGTATTGAAATGTTGCCTTTAGTGTAGGTTCGTAATAGGTTGATAGATTAACATTTCAAACGAACCCATTTAGACCCACCTTGGCAGCATCATTTCCAGTAACTGCAACAATCCTGCGAATTCCCTTAGCAATGGCTTCTTCAGTAACTATCACAAAATCACCTATATGTCCAGCTCGCTTCAGATGACTACAAACGGAAATAGCATACATGTACATGTGTATCCTAAACATTGAGTATTGCTTATGAGTTAGTATTCAAGCCCAAATGAAATGATTTATTAAAGATTAGAGTTGGAAGGTGGGGGGGGGGGGGGGGGGGTGAGAGCAGACATTTTACTCAGTCTATGTTTATGACTTTTAAGAACATGAATTGCTTTTTAATTCAAAATGTGAACAGTTGTTTTGTGGGTTCCATATTAGGCATTATTGTCAATATGTAGAAACTGTATCTATAAACAAACAAATGAGTTGCATGAAATAGGCAGTATAGGATACATGTTCTGCCATAAGAAAGATCTAAGTGCATTAACGAAATGAGACATTTGAAAAGAAAGTGCACTTACGTTCCTCCGCAGAATTCAATGGAAGTTTTGATACCAGCAGGACTGTTGGGATCTGCCACCAAGTCCTCAATTGGCAGTCCTATAGACACCACACGTACAGGGTCAGGATACACCTGAAAAAGTCACAATTATATTACAAGCACCACACGTACAGGGTCAGGATACACCTGAAAATGGCAAAATTGTATTACAAGCACCACAAGTACAGGGTCGGGATACACCTGAAAATGGCACATTTATATTACAAGCACCACACGTACAGGGTCAGGGTACACCTGAAAATGGCACAATTATATTACAAGCACCACACGTACAGGGTCAGGATTAGGGTGGTCCAAAATATGGCGAAAAACCAACTTTGTTTCAGATCATCTTCCTCATTTCACTTACTGTTGTCCATGACCTAAAACACCTGCACACCAAATTTTAAGACCCAAATCACATGGGAAATTTACCCACGCTTTGACTGAAAATTCGGTTATTTCATGATTTTTTGCTATTTTCGATAAATTGTCATCTCCCTTTTCCTGGTATAATATGTTTCTATTTTTTCATAATAAACATTTTGTAGGACTCTTTATTACTTCATAATACTAGGAACCCATACACCAAATGTTGAGACCCAAATCCCATGGGAAATTTACCCACGCTTCGACTGAAAAATTCGGTTATTTCATGATTTTTTGCTATTTTCGATAAATTGCCATCTCCATTTTCCTGGTATAAATGGTAGATGTCTTTTCATAATAAATATTTATGTTCATGTAGAGTATTGATATGGCCGTGAGAGTCGTACATGTAAAATTATTAATATAAAATTAATATAAATAAATATTGAGCCAATTAACACAAAACACAATACCTTGGAAAATAATGGCTAATTTAAGTTAATTAGCTACAAGAGTTTACAATTTGACATAACTGTTAATTAGCTCAATTGGATATATTATAATACCATCTCCAACTCATCTTCTTGGGCGAAAATAAATCTCCAACTGGTGGTGTTAAGCTGGGGAAGGAGGTGAGGGAAAAGAATCGAAATGTATAACTTACATTGATGTTAATGGATTTTGTACGCACCTAGGGAGAAAACCCTCCAACTACAATCCTATCGATATTTCGTCTGAAGTCTCATCTCGTACTCTCGAGATCTGAAGCTTGATGTTTCGTTCAGTGTAACTTACCAGAAACATTTACCTGGGATAACCGGGGAATGGTCTTCTCAGGGCTTGTTCATACCTAAACCTTAACCGACTCTCACATTGCCATAAATGAAATTATTGTCAATAATTTGAATTTATGTTCATGTAGAGTATTGATATGGCCGTGAGAGTCGTACATGTAAAATTATTAATATAAAATTAATATAAATAAATATTGAGCCAATTAACACAAAACACAATACCTTGGAAAATAATGGCTAATTTAAGTTAATTAGCTACAAGAGTTTACAATTTGACATAACTGTTAATTAGCTCAATTGGATATATTATAATACCATCTCCAACTCATCTTCTTGGGCGAAAATAAGGCCATGCGCGATCTCTCGCGAGAGCCCAAAAGAAAAGAAGATTAATTAGAAAATAGTTAAATCATTTATTGATACACAAATCAATACATGAATACCAAAATATAAGAACATCATAGAAATGAACTAAAGTAAATCCGCAGATTCTGAAATATGGATGGACAAATTAATGTAATGTAATGTAATGTAATATGCTGTCAATCTCAGGTAAGATAAAGGAATTAGAATTGAATGAAAATTTTTGAATTCAGAAAGTGCGGGTTTATCTCAATTAAATTTCTAGTACATCATGAAGAAAAAACAGTAGCTACTTGAAATTTGCATGCTCGACACCTGTCTGAGCCACTTTGGGGTTTACAAGAAAATTGAATACTCGACACCTGTCTGAGCAACTTTGGGGCTTTAATGAAAATTGCATACTCAACACCAGTCTGAGTTTAAAAAAAAAGTCTACCTAATATAAATTTTTAATGTATGTATGTATGTCATCTCCCAATCTTTTTTGATAGTATAGTCATCAAGTCCAAGATTTGTGGCCCATGTGGCTCCGCCTATCTGCAAACTGTGGCATTTATAGAAGGTAGGATCTACCTGACATTGAACAAAGAGTTTGTGAAGAAAATTGTTAAATACAGAAGTCTTCACTGGAGCATCTCTATAAATGAAAAGAAGACCTGATGTTTAAGGACCTTATGTTCAGGTACAACTTCATATGTAATACTGGACAACAAGATGGTAATTGAGGATTAATTGATATCGTAGCAGGAGATGAGCTATGTTTAAAATGTGAAAAAGTAATAATGAAAAGGCTTCATCGGGAGAGAATTTAATACTTTCTAACTGTAAGTTATGTCCTGCGGAAGTACTTGTCAACTCACTACTTCTAGTAAGCCAAAAAGGCTGTAGATAACATAGCTCTGTACAAGACTTGAGCAAAAGGGTCAAAATCTACATCAGAAGTTTTAGAAATCGTTTGTTCTAACAAAGCTGTGTTGATTGGCAATCTAGTGTCTATGCTAGGATTTTTTTTTTTACAAAAAACCGGAAACTATTTGAGAGACTACATAAGAAGTAGTGGGATCCTTGAAATTGTTAAATGTGAAAATATGGTAGATATGATATACCAGACAGAATTGACTTGAATGAATTAGAGGCATAATTCTTTAAACGAAGATGTGCTGCAAAAAGGCTAGCAGAGGCTGGGGTTAGAGGAAATTCACCTATACCTGTCCGGGAGTTGAACTGTACTAATAAATCATATGACTTTCTGGTAGACGGGGCTTGGGCAGCTTGAAATGCTTCTAAAAAGATAGAAAGTAACATAAATTGTTTCTAGAAAAACCGTCAGCAGCAGAATTATGAATACCAGCAATGTGTTCACTTTGAACATGATATTGTTTGAGAGACATTTTAATATATAGGAAGTAAGAGTTGCATGGACGTTTGATTGCTGGTAGAAAATTTATTTCGGTATGTTCACTACTGCTTCATTGTCAGAATGCAGGATAACTGTGTGTCCAGACATAAAATTTTGCCTATGTAAGTATAGCAGTAACAATAGGATATAATTCAAGAATATTGATGTCCAATTCTTTCCATTCTGATGGCCATTCCCCTTTAAACCAAAGATTATTGCAAACGGCTCAATAGCCTATCGTAGTAGAAGCATCGGTAAATAGATGCAATTGTTCTCTTGTCTCTTGTTCTTCTGTAAGGAAAATAGGTTTCCCATTAAAGTGAATTAGAAACTCTTTCCACATTAATAAATCCTGGATAGATGGAGTGTTGATAAGATTTTATAATGTAGCTCCTTCATTTTTAGATAGATGAATAAATATTGAAATAAATGATCTACCGAAAGGAATCACACAACAACAGTAGCTAAGGAATCCTATAGCAGATAAAGTTCTCTTTTTTGAGACTTTCTTTGGTTTTGGCTTAATGGTGAAGGGGTTGATGTTACATAAAGTGTCAATGATTGTTTTGCCATTTCCATGGGCAAACGAGCTTCTAATAGTCTTACACAAGAAGCAACCTTTTCCTAAATGTTTTATAATATCTATGGCTTGTTGTACGGTTGCATATTTAACTGTAGAAGTTTCGTCTGGGATAGTATCATTATGGATTGGCCTCTGGGATGTGATAAGTTGTGAATAACACACAATTCACCTGGAGATTTTTTAGGAAAGAGAAATAAGGGTGAAATAACATAATATCAAATGGTGGCTGGTCAAAAGGTCTAAGTATTCTACCAGCTTTAAGCTCTTTGTTTAATTTTTTGAGAGCTTCTGGGTTCTTAGATATGATGACAAATTATCATGAGTAATGTTGTAATGTTCTGGCAAATCAGAGTGAGGAAATTTTAAATCCATACTAGAAACCCTGAACTGTTTCTTCTTGATGTTCATAGCCTTCAAGCCAATATCTGAGTCTTTCAGGTTTAACTGGAGTAACAACTTGTGTTGACAAAAGTTCACTCGAAGGGTTTTTTGGAGTCTCCAGTACCTGAGCGCTTTTTGTTGGGGAATTGGGCTTGCCTGCCGTTGTTGCGGGAGTAACATTTGACATGTTTGTTTGTTTGGAACGATTGCAAGTTGGGCAGGTGTGGTTAAAGGGACAAGGGGATATATATTTCAAGAGGTGAGGGGTTTGATCATGAAATCTTTGGGTATAGACAGCAATAAATATACTGAATTCTCGGACCCATTCTGGAAATGAAAGGATTTTTTTGAAGGGATTAAATTCAAATGTTTTGATTCAAAAGAATTGTCAGATTACATCTCACAGAGGACATAATCAATGTTTTTGTCTTCTTCAATACAATCATGAATCAATACATGAATACCAAAAATATAAGAACATCATAGAAATGAATTAAAGTAAATCCGCAAAATCTGGAATATGGACAAATTAATGTAATGTAATATGTTGAAAAAATGGGAATTGGATTCATAGAAGCTACTGACACCTGTCCTTGTAGCATGGCATTTGTGTTGGGAATTAATCCATAAGCTGTAGAGACGGGTTGCGAATTATGAAAAGCTGAAAGGTTAGCAGAGACTGGAGGGATGAAAGGGTAGGGTTGGATATTAGCGCTTGATGCAAAAGATGGAATAGGGCGAGTAATAGATGCTGTGGGTCTATTTAGAGAGAATGAAATGTTGGGTTGGAATGGAAGATGTAGTGGAATAAGAAGGGAAAGGGGATAAGGGAAAAGTTGTTGTAAAGTTGCCTCTTATTAAAGTGGGCATAGACTTGGCTGCAGTCAGGGTATTAGAAGTGTGATACTCTTCTATAGTAATACTTAGGCTAGGATCAGATCCTTCAGTTTCAGACATCTGGAATGAAATAAGTAGTATTTATATAGAGGGTAAGCAACTTCAAGACATAATAACATTTTTAGATAAATATAAATAGAAGCACATGCTCCATGTTAGATGTATAAATATGATGCCCACAAGGCTAATCATAATAAATATGATTTAGAATACACTGCATAAATAAATGCATATGATATATTAAGATTATGAATTATCATAATATAAATATGATGCCCATAAGGCTAATCATAATAAATATGATTTA